TAGTTTATATATATATATATATATATATATATATATATATATATATATATATATACATATATCTATTATATATACATATAATAAATGCAATTAACAATCTGCAATTAATAATCTAATTAAAACTTCTTTTTCAGTTATTAATTACTAAAATATTTATTTATATATTATATTCATATATTACTTATATTTTACTTGAGCATGGAGTAAAATAAAAGCAAACAAATGATTAATAAGTACGTATGCTGTTTATACATTTGTTTTACATTCTTCATATTAAAAGTATATAGTTACATTTAATATATGACATATAATCGTTAATTATATTTTTGTATAAAAAGACAAACTTTTTTAGATAACATGATTTTGGATATAATATTATAAAATAATTATTATAGTACAATGTACGAATATAGTTTACTGGTTTATTTCATTTTTTCTTAAAAAATTATCTATGAATATTAATTATCTGTAAACTTTGTATTTAAATTAAGAGCTGAAAATAGAGAATGAATATATTCTTTTTATGATGTAATTTCGTTGAAGTATTCAAGATTTTTATTTATTTTGGCATGAACATCCGGAACTGGAGTTTCAATGCATGAAATACCATAAGAAGCTACACCGACAAGCTTGCCTTCATAAATCAGAGGGCTGCCGCTGTCACCCTATATAAATAATAATTTTATTAATTATATTATCATTTATATTATATTTATTTCATTTTTTTATATATTCTGTAAATATATCTTTATTATTCAGCAGTATTATTCTCTTTCTCTTTCTCTTTCTTATCCTACATTTTAAAGTATTGTTACAAATATAAATCTAATTAAAAAAAAAGAGATAATTTTAAAAAAAGAGATAAATATTACTCTTTAGAAAATTTTATTTTTAAAACTTAAACAAATATTTATTTTATATAGCAAAATTAAAAACAAATATCTAATAAAAATAAAATATTTGTTATTTGACAGAATCAAGCCAGAAAATGTATAAGACATATTTAAAATGTTTAATTTAATTTCTAATATTATATTTTTCTTAACATTTGCTCACCTTGCAATAGTCACTTTCGGATTCTCCTCTTGTACAAAATTCAGAATCAGAGAGTTCTTTCTCGTGGAATGACTGGCATTCTTCAGAGTTTATTGTTGTTAACGTTACTTCCTTTAGATTTGTAGTTTCTTTCCCTTGACGATCAGTTATCATCCAACTAACCATCTGTAACTTTGCACCCACTGGCACTTCTGTTTCGGATAATGAAATTGGTTGCACCTTTTCACTAAATTGAAGTGGTTTTGACAGCTATAAAAGATTCGTTTATGTTATACGTATTGCAGTTTATATGCTCGATATCGCGGAAGATATAACAGATTCTTTAAAACAGAAAAGTTTTTTCAAATCTCGACACTTTATGCAAATGATTAATTATATAAATATAATAAGAAATTTCATAAATTAATTAAATATTAAAAATAGTAAGTTGAATAACTGTAGCATTTAATTATTTATTAGAGTAAGTAATGGAGTATATGGTATGTGTGCGTGCGTGTGTGTATTTAATTACAGTGCAAAAATAAGTGTGTGTATATATATATATATATATATATATATATATATATCTGTGTGTGTGTGTGTGTGTGTGTGTGTGTGTGTGTGTATAGGTATAAACAAATACAAACTTTAAGCACGCCAAAGCTGCTAATGACGTCATTGTCAATTGGATTAACGTGATGATTTTGCGAGAACGTTTCTTTAACAAATCTACGGATACCGCCCGGTTTAAGACTGCTCGTGCCACTGACGATGATAAAATTGTTCATGACATTCCAGGCATGTTTGAGCGGTGGAACGCATCGATCTGACGTGATGATATGATGCTCGTCTAGTATAGCACCGGAACATATATGTTTGCCTATTACTTCTAATCGATACAACACATGGATACTTTGTGATATCAGCATCACCGTTGCTTTGTGTTATTTCGCAATTGACACCTGATACAAAAATTGATATTTATTAACATCTTATAAAAATAAGATAAATTATTTTTTTTCTTAAGATTAACTGTGTGGTCTCTTTAATGACAAAATCAAAAGAAGTCTAAAGAAATAGTAACTTTTACGAGTATTTACTTTCCCCATAATGCGTGTAATCTAATTTTTATAAGCTAAGAAGTTATTTTTAAAGATTGAAGTGATAAAGATGGAAGTTTTTAATTAATAGTTCAAAATATAAAATATTTTTTATTAAATGTATATTTTTTTATATATTGTTTTATATAATTATCTAAAGACATTTATAAAGACTAAATTTAATCAATTAACAATGATAATTACAACCAATATATGCTGTTCAAACAAATAGACAATAGATGGCTTCCATCGGCAGACTGGATCTTCGTGTCGAATAATTTTTATTTTTCTGAATTTCAAGACAATGCTCATCGCGAACTACGTGTCGTTAAACCAACGATCTTACAACTTGTATTTTTCGAATGGACAAGACACTCGTAAGTAGAGCGATTCAGATTCGATTTCTGGCTGAGGTAATATTTTTTGTAATAAAAATTTTCATTAGTGGCGGGGAAGGGATTAATCGATTTCAAATTTGATTATCGATTTAATAGGGAAGGGGTGAATTTAGATTTAGCCTTGAGTAGGCTACGTTGCAAGAGCGTTGTTTTAACGATCGCCATGAGCATTGTCAGAAAAGTAAAAATTATTCGACACAAAGATCCAGTCTGCTGATGGAAATTATCTATTGTTTATTTGTTTAATCAATTAAATTTATTTAATTACTTACCGTTAATGGCGACGAAGATTAAAATCGATGCGAGTAACATTGTGAATGTTCGTACGAATACGATTGCGACAGAGACTTTCGAAAATTCAATGCTATTCCTTCACTACTGTTTATATACACGAACGAATATTTACGCAGTTGTAATTATTAATCATTTATATAATTTAGTGAGGAAAGCAATATGTACGTTATTAAAGACGCAGATGGTAAAGTGACAGTTTCTTTTTGATTTATGAAGCGTATTTTCATGCGATAAGATTAATTGAAAATGTTTGAGAAATTGTATATTATTTTGGATATTATGCAATATGTTTTCAAGTAAAAGATCATTTATATTTAAAAAGTAAATAGCAACAAATACTTGTGTATAATACGTATATGTATCTATTATATATTTTGAATTAACACATTAATATTTAAAATTAAAATTTTAACATAAATTTTAACATAAATTTTAAGTACTTGACTTCTATAAAATCAATTGAAATTTAAGACGCTTATTTATAATGTAAAATTAATAATATAAAGAATATTAACACTAAAAAATTTATATTATATTTTAAACAATAATTATAATGTTTTATTATATATAATACGTCAATTTCTATTTTTCATATTTTTAATTTAAACTTATTTCATACACATAACTATCATTTTATTAAACGATCTGTAAAAATGTTTTTATTTTTAATTTTGATTTGCGAATAAGACGGATATATAGAACAAGAAGTGTTCAGTAAATATCAAATATTCAAATTATAATTATAATATTAAAATGTATCTTAGTAATAATATATGTATATAATTTTTTGTGTTGCTTATTTTTTAATAATTTTATAAGTGTTTTTATTTTTTTATTTATTTTAAAAATAATTAAGAAAATATAATTAAACTTGCTTTCTTAATCTACTAACTTGATCATAATTAGTCAAATGTAATTAGTCAAATGTGTATTTATTCATTTTATTTCCAACAGTACAGTAAAAGCATATGGGAGCGAATGTATTGATAACATTACTTGTTTCGTAATCTATTTTCGTGTTAATGTATTTTCAACCAACACATACCGAGTATACACATATTTCTATTTTCGGAGTTTCTCGGAATTATTCATGATTTCCAAAAAGCGTGAGGTAGGAACTTCCTCGAATTCGCGAGGATCATTAGAATCCGCTGAGTAGTCATCACGAAAGGACAAAGAATAATAAATTGCCGACCTCTCTGTATATTTGACAAGACGAATAAAGTAATTTTCATGGAAGTCTCCTGTATCTGATTCTTTCGCAAGAGATATAAAAATTAGAAGTTCACCACTTCGATTGCGTCAACCGAAGTTTCTACTAGGGACTACACGCAATAAATTATCTATTTTCAAACTTACTTATGAGAAATTCGCGAAAAAGGCAAAGGTTCTTTCTTAAGAAGATAATGAAATAAAAGTATAAAAAAACATAAATTCTAATTTATCTGATAAAACTGTATCTTTATAAGGTGTTACTTATAAAAAAAGTTTATTGAAATGTATTTTATTAACACATGGTAATTCTCAAGAATCCATATAAAGCAAAAAGTATATCAAAATATAAAAATATGAAGACTAATAAATTGAATGAATCTTCTATTAAGCTGACAGAAAAATTCAAATGTTAAATAAAAATCATACAATACATTAATGCTTTACGATAACATCATAACAGAAATTTAATTTATGTTATAACCGATATCTCTTTGTTAGCAAATTACTTATTGCTAAAATTAATGTATAAATATATATAAAATTGTGAAATCTAATCATTCGTATGTGATCCATCATACAGACTTTGAAAGTATTATGAAAATCTGTCCAATTTAATTTATAAGGCGATTTTTCAAAATGTCCAGTTGGCAGAGATGTAGCATTAATAGTGTATAAAAATTGTCAATATCTGCGTATGGCATAATTATGCATATAGAAATGAACTGAGAAATAAATGTAACCCTCATACTACGGATTCTTAGTTACGTCATAAATGTAATATTGCATTGGCATTTTATTTTTGGTTTGCCTGGATCAATAATATTTTATAGATCTTTTATGTATTTTACTGAATATCCAAAAGCAGTCGGAAGCAGTTAACGGAAGTAGTTATCAATATAATGTACGCACATGTAATAATAAATCGTGCAATTTGCGCTTTTTCTATTATCATGCTTCGTTCACTCTTTTATATTCAATATTGTCTAATCTTATATTATTTTTACTCATTTTTAATAGCAAAGCAGTACTTTTAAAGTGATTTTAATGGTAAATAAAAGAATATTGTGATTTATATAGTCGTATAAGAAAATGACAGAGATATGAAAAATTACATTTACAATTTTAAATAATTAAAGAGAGAAATTTTAAATAACTATTTATTTAAATAAATGTTAATTGTAATAAAAAGTAAGCATTAATAAAGAAAAAAAGATAACTTTCTTGTAAATTTATATAATACAATAGAAAAATTTATTAACAACAATAACAAATTTATTAAATAAACTATATGACATATGATTTAGGTCTTTGAAATTTTACATGTATATGACAATTATTTCCGAAGACAGATAAATTGCAAAATTAAAATACGTTTGAACTTTATTTTAAATATTATAATGCATTTATGTTAAATATCATAATTTATTTATATGTATTAATGTCTAAATATATGAATAATACGAAAAAAATGTATAAAGTTAATTTTCTTGTAAACATATTTTATTTCAATATAATGACGATATCTTATATTTTTGATGAACTAATCCATTTGATCTTTTTCTGATGATAAGCTATTATGATGTTTGGAATTAAATGCTCTTTGATGTACGGGCTTTGATGTTTCCATGTCATTAGTTATAGACAATTAGTTAGACTCCATTTTTTAATCACGAAACGATGTTAACATCTATGCGTGCAGTGAAAGTGATAGGGTGCATAATAAAAATTATTAAAAGCACGAGATATTCAATGTATATGACAGAAAGTTTTCCACGTCTTTTGTCACGCAACTTGAAATAATTTCTTGCGTGACAACGTCCACAATACTCATAAATAAAAATTGAAGCGATAATCGGTTGAAGTACCTGGTCACAGCAGACATGTGTAGACATGTTGGTAATATTCTCACGCAATTCTAATCGATGTTGATTTGTCTATAGTCTTAACTATAGCGCTAATGATCGATAACTTGTGCATAGTTTTTGCTTTTAACAATTGATTGAGGTAAAATGATAGGTAATTGAGGTAAAATGACAAATATCTCTTTTTATATTTTATATCCATATAGCATAATAAATTCGTTAAGTATTCTTCAAGTTTGTTTTTTTCTTAAATTGTTATTCATTAAGAATTTAAAGTATACTATAAGAATGATTCAGACAATTATATTAACATTGTGTCAATGTTATATTTTATTACTTAATAATATAATTGTTATAACATTGTTATATGTAAGATTGCTTAGCTTCATATTATAAGTAAGAGAAATGGAAATATAAAACTCACAAATAAAAAATTTAAATTACAAGTTAGTGTATAGTATATAGCATAATAATTTATTTGAAATTAAATAACTGATTTTTATTACTTATAATTACGTTGTTAGGTAGTAAAATTATTAGAACCAAATATTCTATTTTTGAAATATAAGTTTCTGTTATGTCCAAACCCCAGAATTCCTTTTCAGAATAAATATTAATATTCAGAAATAATATCTAGGAAAAATTAAGAAGGAGATTAAAGAAAGAACGTTCAATCTACGTCTTGTTTTAAGCGCGTTAAATGATAGCAAATCGCTCGTACATAAGGCCCCCGAAATTAAGTCAATATCACGTTGTGAGGCTTCCTTCGAGAATGATACGTTGTTCCGTTCGTATTTGAGTCAAGAAATTCAATCCTTTTAATTCGAAATCGAACCTCATATATGTTTTTCTTTTAATCTTAACGACTGCGCGTATACCAGATGACGGATGTGAATTCTGGATTAGATCTGTTAATAATCGAATCGTATTATCTCAAGCTTTTATTGATATTTTTCATAAAGTTCCATCCCTCAGTTCTAGCTTAGTCCCTTTGCGAGTGGCTGGCGATTGACTTAGACAGATGACAGAGTTATTTTTCATGGAGTATTATTTAGGCTTAGTCGATTCGTGAGAATTTCTTTATTACCGTGAGAATTTCTTTATCATTATTCTGTAAGAAAATTAAACATGCCAGCTATAGTTCGTAGTGAGCCGCGATCATCCTTTCGCTTCGTCCATCACATGGCATAATAAATTTTATGGAAACTCACGAAGAAAAGAACCGTGGAATCTTTGGAATGTAATATTTCTGTGAACAAGATTCTACTTGTATTTTTTACTGACTGTAACTGCTCCTAATTAAAAAATCATTATATGACTAACATCATAGAATTATACAATTAGATTATTAAATATAATTAATTAAATTGAATTTATAATATATTAATTTTTTACTGAAATTAATTTTTACAAAACAGAATTATAATATCATAAAAAAGTTGTGCAACACTTTATATATTTTTATATAAGAGACCGTAAAAACAATAAAGTTTTAAAATGAATTAAAATAATTTTATTTAATCAAGTAGAAATGATGTCAATATTGTAGATGCATCTGAAACAAAACTACACTGAATATTAGTCTTTAGAGATCAAGTAAATTTGTTTGATATATTCTTCATTAAATAATTTACTTTTAAAATAGTATAAATTGTTATTTAAATTATCTTATAATTATATATATTATATATAAATAATTTATATATATTTATATAAATAACTTTTATATATCTTCTATCTTATATAAATTATGTTATATAAATAATTAAGATAAAACAGATTTTCCAGTTTTATTATCAACAAAAGAACAATAATTTATAAATTATAATTCTCTCCAGCTTCAATCAATTCTTAGATTGCTTTCACTACTTTATGAAATTCCTCATTAATTTCTCATTATTTCGATACAATGCAACGAGATTTATTTATTTACAAATATATATTAACACAATTTTTAAATTATCAAGTTCTATCATTAAAAAATGGACTTTTCTTACGTTTGTGATTAACTCCTTGTTGTATGCAAAACAGATATATAACCAACTGATGTTTTCACTAACTGAAAAATATGTACACATACACACATATACAGGGTAAGTAAAAAGTCCTGGATCGATGAAATATCTCGAAAACTAAGCATGTCCGAAAGAAATGTTTTCTACAAAAGGGTTTGAAATGATCTATTCACTGTGATCAGTCTGATCTTGGGCATTATGTCGATTTTTTAAATGGCACATCCTATTTTTGATTTCAGAATAGTTTGTGTCAAAAGCTTTTCGAAACACTACAATGAAATTATTTTCATAAAGTACTTATCGAGTTATGAGGCTTGAAAGTTACAGCACCATTGGCATTTTCCCGTGCTTAGCATTTCTCATTCCTTTGGGGTGTTTGATTTACGTGAGTTCCCTTACCTCTTACGTTTGGGGTGCTTGATTTACGTGAGTCTCCTTGTCTCTCACGTGTGTGTGTGTGTGTGTGTGTGTGTGTGTGTGTGCGCGCGTACGCGCGTGCGTGTACGAGTGCAATAAGATCTAATTACAAAATCAACAATTATAAGAAACGATTCAACTATTTACACTAGAAACCGATGCTTGCTAGCATATCCTCTAGCTGATGGCACTTGCGTATCTCAACCAATCCTTACACTGTTACCATGATGTCAAGCATCGGCAACGCACTGTTAGTTGTACTGTTTCGTCTGCAATCTGATATCTCAATTTTGAGATATACGAAACAATGCTAATTGAGTAAATTATTCCTGCTATACAAAATCTCTTTCCTAACGATTTCGACCACATGTGGTTCCAACAAGATGGAACCCCAGAGAACGCATTTCGGATTAAAGGTACGAAGGTTACTGGATGAAACTTTCTCGAACAAATAGATTTGGAAGGCATGGGACAATTGAGTGGCCTTCAAGATCTTCCGACCATCTCACACCACTTGATTTCTTTTTATGAGAGATTCTTAAAAGAACATATTTATAACAAACAAAATCTGCGAATGTGAAAGAATTGAAGCAGAGAATAACTGACGAAATGAATGTTTAATGACTGTTGATATGTTAAATGTCAGAAATTCTTTTCAATTAAAGCTAGCACATTGTCAAGCGGTGGAAGGAAGGCAATCTGATATAATTATCAACTTTTGCACATAATGCATTTTATAGAAACAAAATCTGTAATTTTTTAACCATTACGCGGGCAATCTAACTGTTTCAGTGAAATGTTGAATCGTTTTTATAATTGTTGATTTTGAAATTAGATCTCACGCACGCGTGCACGTATACACACACATACGTGAGAGGCAAGAGACTCGTGTAAATCCCAAGACATCCCAAACGTAAGATGTAAGAAGATTCACGTAAATCAAATATCCCAAAGGAATGAGAGATGCTAAACACGGGGAAATGCCAGTGGTGCTGTAATTTTCAAGCCTCATAACTCGAAAGGACCATCAGTGAATAGATCATTTAAAATCCTTTATAGGAAACATTTCTTTCGGAAATGTTTAGTTTTTAAGATATTTTACCATTCCGGGATTTTTTACTCATCCTGTATATGCTCTATATAATATTGTTATATCTTTATAATATTGTTATATCTTAATATTATTAAATATAGTTACACACAATAGAAACATAATTGTAACGTATAACAGTATTTATGTAAAAAAAAATATTTTATATTTTATGCTAATTTTATCTTTATGTTAAATTAATATAAATAAAGTTAAACAACATAAATCATAATTTAACAAGTATTAATAAAGATTTAATGTTTTAATGATAATAATGATAAGATATTAAAAAGATCTTACACTACAAAATGTGGTCATTATAATAGGAGACACTTTCCCAGCAGTGAGATAAATTGGTTTAGAGCCCCTGATCATTAAAAGTAGCAAATCTCGTACAACTTTTGATTCCATGGTGTACCATTTATTATTATATGCCGCATAATAAATTTTATTACACTTAAAAAGATTATAATAATTTAAAATTAAAAAGTATCGTAATGAATTATCATAATAAAAATTAAAATTATCTCAATTAGAATTTATATAAGCATTAATATTAATTTTGGAAATTAATATATAATTAATTATTATTTTAATAAATTAGATTAATTGTACAACATTTACATATGATAATAAAAATTATATA